TTGTGTGGTCCAAATGGGTTAGAGGGATCAAGTGTTTTTTGCTCACCACGAGGAGGGCAAAAAAGAAATGGGTTCAAAAACCTCGGGGTTTTTGCCCGTGTTGTTTATATTATATATATATATATATATATATATATATATATATTTTTATATATATAATTTTTTTATATATATATTAATTGGGATCTACCAAAGCCCTTCCCATTTCTGGGGGGCCCTATGTTTGTTGGATGGGTTTTAAAGGCTTTGCCCAACTGTGACTCCCGTAGTCCCCTTTTTTCCCTCTAAAATTGCGGGTTTAAATTTCCCCTTTTCATCAAAAATTTTTTGTGGTTTTTATTATTTGTCTTTTGGGGGGTTTTAAATTTGGTATGGAAATGAAATTAAAGACCTTTTATCACCGCCACTGATGACGTCTACATAATATAACATACAGCATTTTTATTTGGAACGAATTTTGAATGTGACTTGACTACATGAGCGTCATTAAGATTGGACCAAGAAACCTTGACCTCTTCCATCATCACTAAGGCTGCTGTCACAGTGTTGCCCCTGTTGGCTCAAGTGCTACTACTGTTGCCTTTCATACACATCTGCAGTTGATGCAGCTACCGCTGACGTTACCAACGTTGACTCTTACATTGTGACGCACAACCTCTGTATTTGGACTGGATGTAGTTTCTCTCCTTTATATTGTGGTTATATTGTGTGTAATGTGTGGATACTTTCCTTCTGACAGCCACAATTAGTGTTGATAGTAGCAGTGTTCTGTTCGGTGCACTTTCATACTGATAGCAGAAACTTGTTTATTTTAGCACCTGTTTTCTATGAGTAACACTGAATAACTACAAAATTTTAGTGCTTTTTAAATTGTGCAACTCTCTTGTAACAAGTTCCCTTCACTGCCATCAAGGCAACCCCCCCAACCCCGTCCCTTGAAGAGTCATTTCTCCTATGTATGGGATAGGTTGTCCAGAGAGATGATAATTCCCAAGTGATAGTAACTCCAGCAATACTGCAACGAAGCTTTTGAAGCTGCTGTGCCTGACGAACCTGATAATATCCCCATTGCCCTACTGAAGTCTTCCAGCTCAGGCTGGCAGATTTCAACATAATGTACAGCTGTCATCCTGTGTGATGGAATAAAGCAGGGAAACATGGATAGCTTTTGTTCCCACTGTAAATTATATAATAATACAATAACAATAATAATAATCTTTATTTCTACAGGTACATGATACAACTTATACAGACCATAGCTGACAACAGTGGCATACTATATAGAAAGCCCATTGTTATGCAGAGCATTTCGAGCAAATTAGGTTAATTTTATCCCCAGGATGCGACCCACACCAGTCGGCTAACACCCAGGTACCTGTTTACTGCTAGGTGAAAAGGGATATCAGGTGTCTTAAGGAAACACGCCCAAATGTTTCCACTTGTACCGGGGATCGAATCACGAACTTCAGTGTGTGAACTGAGTGCTCAACCAACCGAGCTACGGGACACCATCTATATATTGAGCAGCACACTGCAGATGTATTCAGTTTTACTAGCTAAAGTCACCTACATTAATTTAGAAGAAATGAGTTCATCTTTTTCAGAAAATTTCTCAGTCTTTCTTCCCGTTCTCTTTAAATAAAGTTTAAGCGAAAACCAATTTTAAAATTTAATAAACATTAGGCAGGAACTCGAGAGAATTTATGGTAAGCTAATGGTTCCTTGAAAATATGGTGACGTCTCTTATTATCTCCTTTTCTTCTTCCTTCTTTCTTTCATAGTCTTTTATTTATACGTGTCCTCGTACATTTAGCACAGGATAATATCGTCAAATATTAAAACGATTACTGCTTTGAGTTTCTTCAAGGGCGGTGCATTGATGTTGATTTAAGGCTCCTGAGCCAAGGAATTGGAGGTTTCCCCTCTCTTACTCAGATCGAACCTGATTAACTCCCATACTTCCCATTCTCTCACCAATGTATGAGACTTAGGGGTTTAGCTCTTCCCATGAATTTAATGATACTGTTTTAGGGTTCATCCATCTTTATAGAGTCTTGAAGTCTACCTGAAGAGTGTTCCGAGGGTCGTCTCCCCCCAAGCCTCCCAGGATATGAAGGCCTGATCAACCAGGTTGTTACTGCTGACCGCATGCAGCAGTAGAGAGAGAGACATTAGACTGTTGCTCCTTTCTAGGCTTCTGTTTCACTACTTCGTAGGCTCCTCTTCCATATTCTTTCCTAGGCTCCTGTTCCATTTTCCTCCGCCATGGTCCAGTAATTCCTACTACAAGCATCCACGTTTTACGCAGTGTAAACCTGAATCTACCATCTCAGTGACTTACTCTTGCCAGAATTGACGTTTCTTTCTCCTCGCATATACCACAACTTTGCCTGCGGTACCTAAACTCGTAACGATTGTAACTTGAAGAGCTTTACTGTGAGCTCACACATTGGTACTGCTCCAAATACCAAGGGGTACATAGGGGTAGGGCCTGGTCACGGACCAGGCCTCGCAGTGGATCAGGGCCTGATCAACCAGGCTATTACTGCTGGCCACACCCGGCTGGTCAGGAACTGACTTTAGGTTCTTGTCCAGCGCCTTCTTGAAGACTGCCAAAGGTCTATTGGCAATCCCCCTTATGTATGATGACAGGCAGTTGAACAATGTTGGGCCTCTGCTTTTCACTGGGTAAATATTGCATCTCCTGCCAAGTCTTTTGCTTTAGTAGGGAGTGATTTTCGTGTATAGATCTGAGACTAGTCTCTCTAGGATTTTCCAAGTGTATATTATTATGTGTCTTTCTCGCCTGCATTCCAGGGAATACAAATCACGGGACTTCAACGGTTTCCAGTAATTTGGGTCCTTTATTGTGCTTATGCATGCCATGAAAGTACTTTGAATATTCTCCAGGTCTGCAGTTTGCCTCCCTTTGAAAGGGGCCGTAGTGTACGAAATTTTCCCAGCCTAGAGAGAACAAGCAATTTAAAAAGAGAATAATCAGGGGCTTGATCCTTTTTTGAAGGTTTCATTATCCATCCTCTGATTTATCACTCCAGGTTTTGCTTAGTTTTTCGTCATTGTTGGTTGGAATTTTTTTTAAACCCCAAATACATTTTTTGTTTTCCCCTAAAATTTTTCATAGAGGATAGTTGAAATTTTGCCTTAAGTTCAATTCCTTGGATCAAACCCCCTCACTACCCCTCAAAAAAATTTGTTGAAGGTCTGTAAATGATCAATTGTCTTTGTAAAGTGTAACTGAATTTTTGTTATCCATCTTTTTACTTATTTTTACTGAATCCATCAGTATTATGGTCATGTGAAAGCGCTGAACCCGTAGGGGTCATTCAACGACTGAGACATGGATTATTATAATCAAGTTAAGCACTAAACCCGAAGGGTCATCAGTACTGCAGGGGGAATGTGTGAAAGTAGGAATGAGGGGGGGAGGTGCGAGGGTAGGGGTGGGGGCAGGGGGGGTGCGAGGTAGGAGTGTGTGAGGGTAGGAGTGAGGGGCAAGAGTGTGCGAGGGTAGGAGTGAGGGGCAGGGGTGTGCGAAGGTAGGAGTGAAGGGCAAGGGTGTGCGAGGGTAGGTGAGGGGGAGGGGTGTGCGACGTAGGAGTGAGGGGCAAAAAGTGTGCGAGGGTGGAGTGAGGGCGGGGTTGCGAAGGTAGGAGTGGGGGCAGGGGTGTGCGAGGGTAGGGGGAGGGGCGGGTGTGCGAGGGTAGGAGAAAAACACCAAAATGTCCGGGGCCCAAAAAATGTTTAACAGTCCCCTAAGCTTAGGGGAATTGCCATAAACCCCTGGCGCCTTCAAGAGAGAGTGGACAGATACCTGAAGTCGTGCCCGGGCAGCCGGGTGGGCTCGTACGTTTGGCTGCTGCGGCCAGCAGTAACAGCCCAGTTAAACAGGCCTGATCCACGGGAGGGCCGGTCATGGACCCGGGGCCGCGGGGGCGTTGATCCCCGGAATAACCTCCAGGTAACCTCAGGTGAGGGTAGGAGTGAGGGGCAAGAGTGTGCGAGGGTAGGAGTGAGGGGCAGGGGTGTGCGAGGGTAGGAGTGAGGAGCAGGAGTGTGCGAAGGTAGGAGTGAGGGGCAGGGGTGTGCGAGGGTAGAAGTGAGGGGCAGGGTGTTCGAGGGTAGGAGTGAGGGGCAGTAGTGTGCGAGTGTAGAGTGTGGCAGTGTAGTGGGAAGAAGGTAAGGGGTTGTTGGAGGTAGGGGAGAGTACAAAAGTAAAAGTTAACCCAAAGTTGGCGCAATAGGTTGGTATTTGTCAAAACGGTCAGAGAGTCTAAGGCAAAGGTTTGAGGAATGGCGGGGGATGGGGTTAATTAGGTTTAAGCTAAGGAAGAGGAAAGCAGCTCCAATTCCTTGGATCAAGTTTTCATCAGTATTTATTTACCTCTGGAGTCTTTTGACTACAGATACAGGGTGCTTTATAAAGCTATCCGACTAATAAATAAATGGTCCAAGTCGGACCGAAACGTCGTCGTAAGCTTCTCTCTTTTATGTGCGGGTTATTTGTGTAGCTATCCGACTCACTGAGCTCTTGAATTTCATTTACTAGCTCTTTCATAGTTCACTTAGCTCTATGGAAATCTTTTTTTTTTTACTAAGTAAACAATGGATTTTCATTTATAACTCAGTAATCAACCATTGGTGTGCAGTGGCGCAGCTACGGGAGGGTGGGTGGCTAATGCTGCCACAACCCACTAGATACAACCTTTTTTTTCCAATTAATAACTGGTTCTTACTGTATTAGATTGACCAGTGACCACGAAAGCATGATAGTGTAAGGAATTTCACATACATACTGAAAATGATAGTGTAAGGAATTTCACATACATACTGAAAATCATGTTTTAAAAGTTATTTCTTTGATTTTTTTCAGCATCTGATTTTTAAGCCTTCCCCCAGGTTGAAATCCTGGTTTAAGCCTCCCAAAGATTAAAATCCTGGCTGTGTCACTGTTGGTATACATTAATTTCTGATCTTTGCAGGTGAAGCGACAGGTCTTCTACCGTGATGACGTTGACAACCAATATGAGGCCTACAAACTGGCAGATTTGGAACCAGAGGCTCGCCCTACTGGACACCTCCCCATTGCTCCTCACTACCCTTCCGACCCTCACCAGTCGTCGGTATACGAACCTCCAGGATATGAGCCCATCGTTTATGAACCTCCAGTATATGAGTCCCCTGCTGACGAACTTACAGTTTATGAATCACCGGCTTACGAACCTCCAGTTTATGAATCCCCTGCTTATGAACCAGCAGAGCCTGCCTACAAGCCACCAACCACAACATACCAAGAACCAGCATACAAACCCCAGCCTGCCTACAAACCCCAACCTGCCTACAAACCCCAACCTGCCTACAAACCCCAGCCATCATACAAGCCACAGCCAGCCTATAAGCCCAAACCAGCCTACAAGCCAGAGCCAGGGTACCAGGCACCTGGTAATAAGCCTTACAAAGATGAAAACCCAATCCCCGGAGAACCTGGCGTAGATTATCCTATTTACCATGACGTAAGTTAGTTACATTTAAAGTCTTAACAACGATCTAAATCCTTACGGCAATAATCCGCTTAAGATGCTACCATCATACGCATTAAACTGTGTATATGTTGAGATTAGTCAAGTTTAAATTATAATTTCTTTATTTTGAGCCCCCTCAAGGAAGGTTCCTTGATGTTGGGAGGGGCTCTTGATTTAGGGAATTGGATCTGTGCTCCAGTTCCCCGAATTAAGCCTGAATGCCTTCCACGTCCCCCCCCCAGGCGCTGTATAATCCTCCGGGTTTAGTGCTTCCCCCTTGAATATAATAATTTATTTTGGGTAATAGGGGCTATACCAAACTAATCCTTTATATTCATTTCTATAATAGTAATTTTAACAGAAGCCCAGTAAAAATAATTATTTAAATGTGAAAATTATCATTTTGGCTGATATCAGCAACAAAATTATATGTATGGGAGATAAAATATAACATTTGGTAAAATATATGGTTGAGGATGGCAGCTGATCAGTGGTTATTATTCAGTCATGGGACTTCCCATGCCTCAGAGGTAAAGTTTCAATACTGCCAACACCTGAACAGTGAGTTTGAGTTTAATATATGTGAATTGACCATTCATGCCATAAATCACAACTTTGGCAGACAAGATGAACATATATTTCGGCTACGCTGTAATTGTGAGTGCAGTACCAATTTTCATTAGTTACTTCATAGGTTGTTTGGTCCTGCTAGGTTAGGTTGGGTTTTGTTGTTATAATGGGTTCCATTAGGTTAGATTTCATTGGTGTTGGTTAAGTTAGACTGGTTATTTTCAAATATTTATTTTGGATATATTCACCCCCCCCCCTCACAAAAAAAATGGTTTCTGCAAAATAAAAATTTCCATTGCACAAACTAGTAGGTACTAGACACTTAAAAGTATATATTTTTGTCGAGCCCCTTGATTCAATATTAACACTTTTTTATGTTGCTATAATGGAGAAGTGCAAAACCTAGAGTCCAGCAGCATCTGGGGAATGGAAAGTAATCAGGTTTGATCCAAGGGAAAGGAAAGTTGGACCAATACCTTGGATCAAAAGCCCCACTGAAGGGTAAAGATTATTTTACATTACCTTTATTTAGTGCGAGATACAAGTTGCAACATTTAATTTTGTTTGGAAAAATTATTCAAAATTTTGAGCCTTTAATTAATATATTTTAGACTTGCTGCCTAAATTTAGTTGTACATGAAAAACAACAATACAGAACATTTTTCTGGAGTAGCATGTCGTTATACTGTATTAAAATACTGTACTGTAGTGTGCTACATTGTGTGCTATCTCTTAACAGATTCCATACACCAAGTTCACTTGTGATGATGTCCCCTATCGTCCAGGCATGTATGCCAACCAAGAAGCTGGTTGTCAGGTGAGTCTTGGAAACTATCATCATTACTTAAGCCAGTCCTCATTGTTTTAGCCAATCCTCATCTTGGCTCATCTTCATTGTCAATGCATACTCATCTTACTTTCACCAAAAAGTGAAAAACCATCATGAAAATACAGTGCTATATGGCAAAGGGGTGCTTTTGTCAAGAGTAAGGGGTATGAAAAGTGTGCTCACATGTTAAGGAGAAAAGTTGATGTGATGAGTGTCTTTATTTAAACCATAGAGAAAAATTTGCTTAAAAATAGGGTTTTCTGAGGTGAGCAAATTATACATGTTTACTGATAAGCGGGATAATCGGTCACGAGCAGAGGTCAACTATCAACATGATCAGACAACTCTCATAGAAGTGTGCTAAAAGACTCGTGTGTCTAATACATAATTATGCAAGAATGTTTTACAACCAAACACAGTGGCATGAATTCAGTCAGAAAAGCAACTGTGGCTTGATAAAGTAACAACTTGACAGTCGGAAACTCTAACCAGTAATGTTGCCAGTAAAGTCAAATGTACAGATACAGTATGGTATAGAATTAGTAAAGGGCAGCTCCCTGAAAGAGAATGAAATGTGTTGTGCAGAAGTCTAAAAGATTATTGCCCTGAATAAAAAAAAATAAATATCCAGACTCAGCTGGTTATTTCTTTGTGCTTACCAATGATCTACAACTAGCATTAAATACAAAGTATGGTGGTACATAAAATTGAAGATTTCCAGAGTGCTTGACATGCTCTTCAAAAGCCAGTCTTCAACAAAGGAAGATGCAGACATAGAAATATGGATAACAGCAAAAGAAATGCATATAGCCCTTCTGTAAAAATAATGGCTGGCTCCAGCAACGAAAAACAACCATATATCGTACACCATCAGTATACACATCAGTGGTATGTGACTGTAACTGAAAATGCTCAAGGGAGCATATGTCCATAGCAGAAATGCAAGACTTTGGGAATCGAAGAGAGCAAGTAAGGGATATACCTAGACCACAGGGACTCTTTGAGGTGGGTGAGAAAGTCATTAATAGTGTGAACATATAGGAAAGGTAAAGTGAAGGCAAACCTTGGAGAGATTATAGTTGAAGGTACAGTATCCATTTTACTAACCTCAATGATAATTCTGTAGCATTGGAAACATAAAGATCATGGAAGCAAAAATGTGATAACTGAGACAATGTGCAAACAAAAAAAGCTATGATACAAATCCTGATGGTGAATGAAAGGGTAACTGTTAAACCCAAGTAATATACCTGGTCACCAAAGTTAATTATGGAGAAGACCAAGATCAAATAAAACCAAAAAACTCCTCTGTTGACACTTCAGGCAAAATGTGACAAAACTTTGAATAAATTCATTGTTAAGAAAAGCAGCTTTCAGGGATGTGTGATTTCCCTGATATTTGGAATTCAAAGAGGTCAATGAATCTAGCAGTTTGGCAGGCTGGAATTCAAACAGTAGAGAGTGCAAAACTCAGAATGGTAGGATGATGGAAGGTATGCGATGTGGCCCAACTTGAAGTGGACAACAGTTCTTCATGACAGGATCAATCAAATGTCTATACCAGCACAAACAATGGCAAAATCATTTGCTGCTGCTTTCAACAAGCCAGTCACATCCCACCAAGGCAGAGTGGCCCATAAGGAAAAACAAAAGTTTCTCCTTGTAAATTCAGTAATATAGTATACTGGAGAAGGGGTTACTTCTGTTCCACTTCCCCATGGAGATAAGAGGAAATAAACAAGAACAAGAACTAGTAAGGAAATAGAAGAAAACACAGAGGGGCATATGTATATATATATGTATGCTTGTCTATGCATGTGTAGTGTGACCTAAGTGTAAGTAGAAGTAGCAAGACATAACTGAAATCTTGCATGTTTATGAGATAGAAAAGACACCAGCAATCCTACCATCATGTAAAACAATTACAAGTGTCTTGTTTTACACTCACTTGGCAGGATGGTAGTACCCTGGGCAATGCGTTACCACCTACTACCTACAGTCATCATAGATATATCAATTACATAGAGTTGTTCTAGGCAAGACTATGACAGCTAATGCAAAACAACACCCTCGTAGTTGCGTCAGCCTGAAAGTTGGGAAACATTATGTTTGTACGTATCAATCTGCCCACTAAGTTAGTTAATATGTTATATGACCCATACCCATCGGGGTAGTCAAAAGTTACAGAGTAATAAGGGCAGACTGGCTAAAGTTTGATATGAGCAAGTTACAAGGCAATGATCCAATTAAAGGTAATGACTCACATTTAAAGGATGAACTCCAGTAGTCTAGTCACATCATTACAATTACAAAGATTTACAGATCAGAGGTACCAATGGTCCGGACCGGCTCCAAGTTTTGATGGCTGACTAGGTACAGGTAACTGAACTCACAAGTCAAAGGTAATGGCTTTACAAGGTTTATTATTTTACATATGGTTAATTCTGAGTCTAAACTGCTATTCCAGTTGAAAAAAATTAGATAACTACCACCATTTCAGCTATTTGCAATGGGCTAGTAAGACCCAGGTCCATGAAGAAGTACATATCAATGTGCAGGACCAGATATTCATAAGGATACACAAATAACCGCAACATAAAGCAGGCTTACGACGACTTTTCGGTCCACTTGGACCATTGACAAAGTAAATTAACTTTGTCAATGTCCAAGTCGGACCGAAACGTCGTCGTAAGCTTCTGTCTTTTATGTGCGGGTTATTTGTGTATCGTTCCAGTCACGGTATTGTGCCTTTTTGTTATTTACTCAAAAGGACCACAGCAAATTTCCATTGCAGGGAGTAAAATGCCTTCAGATCAAATCCTGTAAGAGGTGTACCGTAATAAGAAGGCAAGTACCTAAGAGTGTACACATTGAAGCATGGGTGCATTTATCAAGCTCAACTGCCATAGGTTGACACTGACAAATGTAAGTATAAATTCAGGAAGGATAAGCAGAACATTGTAGGGTGAAGGTAAAGTCAAGTGGGGATAGATTCTTCTAAGAATTTTGACTGAAAGGTAGGAGACAATTGCACTCTTGGAGGATTCAGGCAAAGGTAAGCCTTTACTGCACAGACTGACTAAATCTATTATATCCACAAAGGCAACACTGATGGCTAGAGCTATTCAAGCCAAGTACTTGCCTACTTATTTCTGTGCTTTTTCTTTCCAAAGTAGTGGCATTCGATAGATGTAAGCGTGCTTACATCTGTGTATGACAGTATGTATGTAGACTGTGGCAAAAGCTGTGTGCTCCATGAAGCTCAGCCTTGGGTGAAGCATTGTATTAAAAGGACCCTTTGCTACAAGGATCTTTATTCTCATGACACGTGTCTAAGCCCTTGCTTTTTTGAGGTAGCATATTACAAGCATTTGCCAACCATTTAAAACTGTTGTAAAAAAAATATCCTTTGCTTAATGTGAATCATGGAAATAGTGCAAAATATTTAGTCAGTTCCTTCTATTGAAGCTTGCCTTATCATGTATAGTATTTGTTTAACATTTATCATCGTGAACCTTGTCTCCACTTCTTCTAAACCCATAAATTATAGCTGTAGGTAGTTCAGTTGTATGGATGCCTGCCCCATGAAGCCTGTTTTAGTCATACAGGAAGGCCCCACTTCAATTTTCTTCATTTATTCCTACAAAAAATATGTTCACTACCTACTATAAGTTAAGGATGAAAATATTTTAAGGCAAGTGTATGCATTTTTTAGGCCTAGCTCTATTGCTCATTTAATATAATTTTTTTTTTTCAACAAACCGGCCACATCCCACCGAGGCAGGGTGGCCCAAAAAGAAAAACAAAAGTTTCTCTTTTCAAATTTAGTAATTTATACAGAAGGGGTTACTAGCCCCTTGCTCCCGGCATTTTAGTCGCCTCTTACAAAACGCATGGCTTACGGAGGAAGAATTCTGTTCAACATCCCCATGGAGATAAGAGGAAATAAACAAGAACAAGAACTAGAAAGAAAATAGCAGAGAACTCAGAGGGGTGTGTATATATATGCTTGTACATGTATGTGTAGTGTGACCTAAGTGTAAGTAGAAGTAGCAAGACATACCTGAAATCTTGCATGTTTATGAGACAGAAAAAAAGGACACCAGCAATCCTACCATCATGTAAAACAGTTACAGGCTTTCGTTTTACACTCACTTGGCAGGACAGTAGTACCTCCCTGGGTGGTTGCTGTTTACCAACCTACTACCTAGGTTTAATATACATATTAGTATAAAAATATTATCAGACTTCCATATTCATTTGACAGTGAAAAAACTATGATTCACTTTACAGTGGTAACCTGGAACCTAACCTGCTGTATAAGTGGAGCTTGCCTGTATGGCTAGAGTACAGTTTGGCAGCCAACATGGGATATAATGGCTCATCAGTAGAGGAGACATCATTGAGTTGGGGAGAACAGTGATGTAAATTGTAAAAAGTATTTAAGCTTTTGACTGTCGCGGCCGTATATATACGTCTTACAAGGTACCGTGGTTGACATATATATACTCATAAATTCTAGTGGCTTCAAATCAAGAAGGAGAAAGCTGGTAGGCCCACATGTGAGAGAATGGGTCTGTGTGGTCAGTGTGCACCACATAAAAAAAATCCTGGAGCACGCAGTGCATAATGAGAAAAAAAAACTGGCCGTTTTTTTTTAATTAAAATGCCGACTTTGTGGTCTATTTTCGTATAGTATTTATGGTTGTATTCTCGTTTTCTTGGTCTCATTTGATAGAATGGAAAACATATTACAGAAAAAGAGATGATTTTGATTGATTTTACTATAAAAAGAACCTGGAAATGGAACTCAAAGTAGGGGAAATGTTTGATTTTTGCCGATGCTCAAAAGTAAACAAATGACATCATTGTCCAATAAATGTCCAACTAGCCATTCTAATATACAGTCATGAATGGGTTGATGTTATTTATACAATTATTTCAGTATTGGAGTAGTCTGCATAATAGTAAATCTTCTATTTTTTGTTTGAATAAAAATTCAAAATAGAAAGCAAGAGTAATATCAGAGGGGCCTGGAGACATGACTGATGAACAAAGAAAATGTTATTTTAGAGCCAGGAATGTTTGCATTGTTCATTCTGGACCTTATTTTGAAATTGTCATATTTTTTAATTTTCGTGAAATTGGCCAAATTGCAAATTTCTGACCACGTTATTGGGTAGTTGAGATTGGTAAATGGGCAGTTTCTTGTACTCAATTGATAGAAAAAATGGAGTTCTAAAGAAATAGCTATGAGTTTGGTCGACTGGAACAATGGAATTAGCCAAAAATAGGGCTCAAAGTGGGTGAAATCGCCGATTTGTAAATATCGCCAAGGTCGCTAACTTTGCGAGAGCGTAATTCCGTCAGTTTTCCATCAAATTTCGTTTTTTTTTTGGTGTCATTACAATCGGGAAAAGATTCTCTATCATTTCATAAGAAAAAATATTTTTTTTTTTTTAAATTTTGCGACACCAGGAGACACCTCAGGATTGGGGGTTGCGACAGTCAAGGGGTTAAAATGCATCTAGGAACAGCAGTGAGATCTGGCATAGGATGGGAAGGATGAAAACAATGATCACTGTCACTGAGATCATTTATTGCTGTCCAAGTGAAATTCAGTATAACAAGCAAATCTAGAGATCAATACACAAAGCAGTACAAGATGAGGGATCCACATAGGTTGAGCCCCCTTCCAGCATTGAAAATAGGGTATGCATAGGAAGAGGGGGCAAGAAAATATTCCAGTTTATAGTTATAGGGAAACACTAAACCCATAGGGCTTAGGGAATAGGAAGTGTTTGATCCAAAGGTAAGGGTGACTCCAATTCTTTTAATTAATTATCCTTCATCATAGAGGTACACTCCTTCCCCCTTGAAATATGCCTTCAAGAAAAACATCTTGAAATTGTATAATCCCATAAAACTCATACAGCACCTGGAGGAATTGGAGATATAGTACATGTATTTAGGTCTCATCTGAGAAAGGGAGGGAGAAGTTAGCTCCAGTTCTTTGAATCAGACTGCTTCACAAGGATAAACACATCACCTTCAAGGAAAAGCACATATTTCAAATACACCTACCATCTGACTTAGGACAGAGCTTGGTTTCCATCCAACCGGTCATAAGTCGAAATTGACGCAAGTCCAACAACACAGTTTTTTTATTTGCATACAAAACATTTGTATGTTTAAAAACATACGAAAACATTTGTATGCATGAACAGAAAAGTACAAAATAACTTAAGCTAAGCTGTAAATAGTGAGGATGTAGGCACGAGTGGCCGTATGTCGAGCAGGTCGTAAGTAGGATGGTAGGTGTACGTCTTTCTCTTCTATAAATATTATAGTCACAGGACAGTGTTCAAGCTATCATATCTAAATTGTAAAAACAGAGCAGCTTCTGTAATCAAGCTTGAATACATTTGACAGTTGTCCATAGTATCCTACGGGTGTCTTCTGTATTCTGCTTGATTATAATTAGTATGGGGAAAGCACTCAACCCATAGAGGTTATACAGTGTCTGGGAAATGACAGATAATCAGGTTTAATCCAAGGAAAGGATGAGTGACTCTAGTTGTTTGGACGAAGGCTACCTGCATAGATAAATGTTAGTCTCCAATAATATAAAATCTCAGCCTAGATACACATGATAATTCCTATGCAATACATTAACATTACACTGGCAACATGCTTGCAAGAGATGCCAGATATATTCTCAGCATTATTATTATTTACATTCATGGAAGAGTGCTAAACCCATAGAGGTGATACAGCACCAGGGGCATGAGAGACAGTTGGATTCAATCCAAGGAAATGGAGAACAGGTCTAATTCTTTGAATCAAGAGTCTTTCACCAGCATCATGGTGAGGGGCACTTCCATTGAGGGAGGGGTAGGAAAACTTTGCTGGTCCGATAGTTAATTCTGACCATCTGATGTGGCACACTGTTTTCCCTTTGACATCAGTACTGTAATTGTCCAATACTATATTTGCAACCTGTCTTATATTGAATGTAAATTCCTTTTCAGTAGCTTGCCAACTCTTACTACCTAACATTTTAATCTTAACTACTTTGGAATGAATTTCTGTACTGTACTGTCACATGATACCTAAATTTTATATGCTATGATTAAAATTAAGTAGTTTGTAAATTTTAGAAATAGTTGGCCCAATATGCTTTGCATAATATGTGGCTTTTCTTTGAACATACAATTGTAATTATCATAACTGTATCAAAACTAAATATACTGCAAGCCCACCCACTATTTTAACTTTCATATATGTTTCAAAAGAAATAGATTTTCATTTAATTTTCAGTAACTTAGTTTGTCTAGCTTCTATCTATGCCCACTTGTCCTTAGTCCCCTCATTTCAATGTGTGTCTACCTGCTATACTGAGTCCTTGTGTATCCAGTATTGGCTGTAACACTATACTTTTGTCCCCACAGCTGTACCATGTGTGCCATGACAACCGCTATGGTGCCAAAGGAGCAGAGTTCCTCTGCACCAATGGTACACTCTTCAACCAAGAAAAATTTACCTGTGACTGGTGGTACAATGTTGACTGTTCAAAGGCAACCTCCTTCTATGAGTAAGTGGTTTTGCCCTACTATTCTTTATTTAAATTAGTTTCTGTAGAAGTATTAGTTGTAGGGTACTAGGGTGTTACTAATGAGAATAATGGCTGACTTTTATTCAGGGTGGTAGTGTTAGTGTAGCGGTGGCATCAGTACTAGTACAATAACAGTAATTATTAATTTATGTTCATGGGAAAAGTGCTAGCACCATAGGGCTATACTGTACCTGAGGAAAAGGAAATAATCGGGTTTGACCTAAGGTAGAGGGTATATTCTATATGTTCTGGGCATCACTGCCCCTCACAGCTTGGTCTCAGACCAGGCCTACTAAATTAGAAAAAAATTATAAGAAAAACTGTTAGAAACACATTAACATATAGTGATTGTAGGTATTAAGTTATACGATTTATCTGTCATCCTGTGTGTTTTTGAGATGGACTAGAAATCCTGCCAGTGCAAAACACTGAAACAGGCTTCCATTTCATACTCAGAACAGTATTACTTCCTTGGATGCTAGCACTAGTACCCCTTTTCCCTTCAAGGGTAGTAGCTGTATTATGACAGTAAACTCTCATAAAGCTACTATGTATAGTGAAAATTTTTGTAAATGCAATTGAAAGCGCTTGCAAAATTGAATAGCATGTGAAAAGGTCCTTGCAGTACATACTTGCTATTCAATTTTGGATGCACTTTCATTTGCAAAAAAAATGCACTATAACTTTATAGGTTACTGTAAATTTATAGGGGAATGCTAAACCCATAGGGGTATATAGTAATTTAATAAAAAGGTATAGCAATGCTAGTATTAAAATTATTAGTGGTAGTGGCAATGTTCAAAATAGTAATTAATTTAGGTTTAAGGCTGATCTACTGAATGAGGATCAGTAAGGGCACAGTTAAAAAAACAATGGCTCAAATGTGTGTGCATTGTGACGTACACCATTGCACGAGTAGTAACAGTAATATTGATAGTAGTGATGGTGATATGGCTGAGATATAAGTACAGTACTGTAACAGAAACAATGAGATTTTTATATTGTATTCATAAAAATGTCAAAACATGTGACCCATCCAGCAGCAGTTATAGAGAGCAATGCAGACGAAGAAAGACTTATACAGAAAGAGCTCTTGTTTTGCTCAAGTTTTCTCTACCTACAATTGGCATAATGTTCATTGGTTACCATTGCAGCCCAGCCTGAGCCTAAGCTTTCCTATTACCTGTTCAGTCAGGCTATTGATCTGGCCCTTGGCATAGATAATAGTAAAATTTCTTCTTGAAAACTTTTAATTTTGTTCTGGCAGTATTTCCATTGTCTGCAGGTAGTAGGTTCAAGTCTTGGGACATAGATTTAAGTGTTTTCTTACTATTCATGTGGCATACCTGGTTTTCATTGGGTTTATTTTACAATTTCTCCATTATCTTTCATTCCATTGGATTATGATCATAGATTAGGACCAGGCCCTCCAGTATCTTCTTGGTGTTATCATTAGGTCATTGTTTAACCCTTAAACTGTCCAAACGTAGATCTACATTTGCACGCATAACGCTCCAACCTTGATTTTCTCCATAAGAAAGCATGTATAAAAACCGTAGATCTACGTTCGGAGCACTACGTGAGCAAACATAAATCTACGTTTGGACAGTTTAAGGGTTAAGTGTTGGTTGAGGAAGATGGAGAAATATTTGGCTTCAAGGGACTCCATTTAGAGGTTGACTAAAAGAGTAAGGTTAGGCGATTCTGTAGCCACACTGAATTTTTTGGCTGTAGAAAATATTGATAGAAGTACAGTAATTAGAGATGATGCAGAATTCAAAAAGGTCTATAAAATTAGGACATCGAAGGGTATGTCTTTACATATTAGATCTACAGCTCGATCTGTACGGGATTTGGTAAAAAGCAGCATAACTTTGAGACTGACTAATTTCTTATTTCTCCTGTTGATGTTATCCACCAGGACTCATCTGGCTAACTGGTTTCCCCAAATCCCTTTACATGTATAAATATTGCCTGCTCACCTTGTGTGCTTTGTGAAATTTTGGTACTCTGTACATGCTGGCTGCCCTGGTGATAGAAAAGTTTGTTCCCTTGTTTGGACTGTTAGTATTTGGTGTGCATCTTAGAAATTTTTGGGTTTATTTCTCTAGGTTGTGTGACCCACTCATGTGTGCTGCTATTGTCTAAGTTCCTGCATTGTCAGGTTGTAGGCATTGGTTTGAAAATGACATGGCCTCCTCCCTTATTGGCTTTGTTGATCCTCTCTTTTTCTAAAGATTTTCTAGCACTTTGGTAGAATCAAGCAGAACTATGGTGAGCATACCTTTCATAAAACCTTTGTTGAAATCTGAGTCACACAATATCAATCTCATTACACAAAACTACCAGTCCAGTGGCTTCTATTGCAACAAAGGCTTTAAATATCATGTATGTTGTATATTCATCACAGCTCTTCTAGTCTACCAAACCTGCACCACCAGAACACATCTTGACACTAGAAAATCTAGCTAAACCTGTAGACATCAGGATCAGCACCACTACCATTAGGCATTGTCATCCTTAACACTAAATACCTACAGCCAGAAAATGCAGAAACTTCTTGGCCACAACACACATGAATGGATCACATAACTGGGCTAGAGAAATTAACTAATTTCTCACTGAAGTATGCCAAATACTAGAAAAGTATGAACAGGGTAAGGCACTGACACCTCACTCCTAATCCAAGGCAAGCAAATATGTAGAGATCACCCAAAACTCATGAAGGAAACATCGCCATAATTCCATTCACTTTCAGTATTGGCAATACTCCACCTAGTTTAGCAGACACATTTGCCAAGTATGTCAAAACTGAAGGCACCATCACCAGTGTTCACCATCATCATGCTAGAAATCTTCTAAACAGGATTACAATTAACTTGAGAAACTAGAAATTAGCCATTCTGTGGATAATTCCATACAAACCATGATACAGACTTAATATAGAGATAAAAACAAATGTGGATCATCTATGCCCATGTCCTGATTTCATAACCCTCACTCATTGTATCAACTTGAATTGATGTAATTCTTTCAATAATGTTTTCTACAGTAAAAAATTCAGAATTTTCTAAGAAATCCCTTATTAGTGCAGTCTTAGCCAACTTTACTTGAAATCCCATTAAGCTGAATGTTTTTCAACTAAACTTACATGATAATGACATTCTTGTGAAAACATGCAAATTTTTCAAGCTGAAAAACTTCAAAAATAGTTTGAATATGGTGGAAGCATCTATCCAATTTACAGTGAAAAACAAAATACATTTCCATCAAATTATAACATTAACTTGCTCAAAACACACAGAAGCCATCTAACATAAATGATATACACTTCTTTTCCCATCATGACAAAAAAAAAAAAAAATAATGAAGTGCAGGGTTCTAACTGGATTCTTCCAAGGAACCCAAAGAATTTGCATCTCTGAAATTCAAAGTTCCATTATTAATAAAATCTCCATACTTCATTCAGAATTGTAGACAGCGGGCTCAGAAAATACTCTCCTCACATAAAGATGACACTGACAGAGGTCATACTTTTCCTACTGGAAATACACAAGCACTCGAGAAAAGTGGTTGATATGTAGCAGTGCTTGCATCCAAAACCATAAGAGAAAAACAAAAGGATTCAGTCTAACAGATTTGCACCAGTCCTGGAGTCGGTGCCATTTGCTGTACAGGATGCCACAAGGAATACCTAGAGTACACAGGAGAAATGTCAAGCAGCACCACCAAGATCCAAGAACACTAATACATTTACAGGATTCGTAATGATGCTTGCATCATTCATGACCATTCAAACCTTATGGTAAGGAACGACGCCAAACTCATTAACAAGGAGGAACAAAAAGGAAATGTCTAGCAGGAGTCATTTATAACCAGGATATTGTAGCAAATCAAGGTGTTTTCAGTATAGAAAAGCCCATAGCATACTGTTTTGCATTGACAAGCTCCTGGCCCATAACCAGGCAAATTCAGAGCACACCCCTACTGTCTTGAACCTTGTTAATGATCCAGGGACATGACCCATGTTTCACGCTCTACCAATTTTTCATGCAGTTGAATCTTGGCCTGCCATAATCAATGTGACCTTCACCTCTCTTTAAAGGAATATTTCAGAAATACTCTGTACCATTACATTTGTGAGGATGGGGCGGATATACCAAACCTATAGAGGTCATAAAGCGCCTGAGAAAATGTGAAGCAATCGGGTTCAATTCAAGGTACTGTCAGGTTCTATTTATTGTATCAAGAACTTCTCACCATTGTCTAGGACCATTCCTTGAGGGCTAATCCTCTATAAAACTTGCAAAAGCATCTCTTAGAGCAATGGTGCAAATTAAGCATATATTTGTCCATAATAATAGTAAGGTAGACACCTGGTACAAAGCAAACAATTTTTTTTATAGTGTCCTCCATAATACTGGAACCATTATGAAGAATTAAAAAAATTAAGGCTTCTATTCATATAACGTATTCACTGTCCATTATTATTATTTTTATTATTGAGACATGAATGCAGACAAAATATCCAGTCAGCAAGTACATGGTGAATGACACTAGGAGTGGTAAATATTTAAACTGGTTTGTCATATGTGTTGGTGATGAATGTGGACATTGGCATCTCCATGTTGTTTTCCTACATAAGATGAGTTCAGAAAGACACTGCATGCCCCTTTATTTGTCTTGCTTTAAAACGGTGCCTTCTAGCCCCTGCTCTTAATTTATGGCGAGCCATACACGTGGTCAGTACACAAGGCATACGTTTGTTTCTAATATATAACACAGATGATGTTTCAGTTATGAGTTGTTTTTGTATGCACGCCTAAGGATCAGAACTGTACAGCATGTACATCAGGCCCATATTGGAATATGCAGCACAAGTATGGAACCTACACATCAAGAAATTAAAAAGTGCAAAGGTTTGCAGCAAGACTAGTCCCAGAGGAGAAGTTAAGGGAACTCAACCTGACAACAGTGGA